AAAGCTTAATTGATGAACTTCCTCCGCCATAAATAGTCGTTCGTGATCTAAATACACATAATCCCCTATGGGGCGACTCCCATTTGGATGCACGAGGACGCCTAATGGAACACTTTCTGTTTTTGTCAGGTGCATGTTTACTTATAAAAAAGAATCAACATATTATAGCATTACACACAACATATACTCTTCTATAGACCTGAGTATTGTTTCGAGTACACTAATTTCATATCTGGAGTGGTTCGTTCTCAAGAACCCCTTTGGGAGTGACCACTTCCCGATTATGTTGAAGTTAACAAAAGAAGATGCATGCTCGCCTGACTTTCCTCATGGGAACACCAGGTCGGCCAACTGGGAACTGTTCCGAGAAATTACATTTTTAGACGGAGATGACATAGCTGATTTTAATATAGGCGATGCTGTAGCATACCTAACAGGTTTTATTATTGACGCTGCAGTGAAATGTATTAAGCAAACTAACGGAATGAGTGATAAGCGTTGCATCCCATGGTGGAACGAGGATTGTCGAAAAGTGCGAAATAGACAAAATAAAGCTTAGAGACTACTCCGAAATTACCCAACGGCTGAAAACCTCGTCAATTTCAAACAGGTTAAGTCCCAAGCCAGAAGAACGCGTCGTCTTACAAAGAAAGAAAGTTGGAATAGGTACATCTCCGGTATAAATTTTTACACTGACGAAACGAAGGTTTGCAATAGGGTAAACAAGTTAATGGGTCGGGAGTCGCACCCCCTACCCTTGGTAAGTACCCGAGGGGAGAGCCTGGAGGAGCACGCAGACTGCCTTGGTGAACACTTTGAATGTCTCAAGTGCATCACACTGTACAGAAACGCTCTTAAGATTCAAAGAACGCGAAGAGCAGCAACCCCTTAAATGTGAACGTCCGTCCAAGGAGACTCGCAACTGCCCATTTTCATTTGCCGAACTTAAGGCATCTCTTGCGTACTGCAACAACACGGCGCCAGGTGGTGATCGTATACTGTACGAAATGATCAAGTACCTTCACCCCGAACCACTAAAAACACTCCTAACCCTCTTCAATACCATGTGTGAAGCTGGGTATATTTCACTGTCGTGGAAAGAAGCGATAGTCATCCCAGTGCTTTAACAAGGCAAAGACCCGTCCTTGGCCACCAGCTACAGGCCAATAGCGTTAACAAGCTGCCTATGCAAACTATATGAGAAAATGATAAACCGGCGCTTAATCCACTTTCTAGAAAGTAACAGTATACTAGACCCCCTTCAGTGTGGTTTCAGAGAGGGAAGGTCGACAATAGACCACCTTGTTCGCATAGAGACATACATCAGAGATGCATTTATTCATAGGCAGTTTGTACTTTCGGTATTCCTAGACTTGGAGAAGGCGTACGATACCACATGGCGATTCGGGAGTCTACGCGATCTTGCTGCCATGGGCTCCATGGGAACATGCTAAACACAATTAAAAGTTATCTGTCTAACCGAACCTTTCGCGTAAAAGTGAAAAATGCTCTCTCTAGATCATTTACCCAAGAGACTGGTGTTCCGCAAGGGGGCGTGCTTAGTTGCACACTCTTTCTTGTAAAAATGAACTCCCTGCAGTCAGTAATTCCAAGCGCAATGTTTTATTCCGTGTATGTTGATGTGCAGATGAGTTTCAAATCATACAATATGTCTATCTGCGAACAAGTGCAGCTTGGAATGAATAAATTGTCTAAATGGGCGGATGAGAATGGTTTTAAAATAAACACCAAGAAAAGTACTTGCGTACCTTTCTCCAACAAACGAGGGGTAATGCCGCTACGAAATGTTGCGATTATGGGAGGCCAACTCTCTGTGAGCAGCGAGCATAAATTCCTGGGAACCACTTTAGATTCTAAGCTGTCGTTGATTCCCCATATTAAATATGTCAAAATGAAATGTTTGAAAGTGATGAACGTCCTAAAACTCCTATCGCGTACAACATGGGGTAGTGATCTAAAGTGCCTCTTCAAGTTATACAAAAGCCTTGCCGGGTCGCGACTTGATTATGCCTCCATAATTTATCATTCCGCAACGCCAAGTGCATTAAAAATCTTAGACCCCGTTCACCATCTGGGTATCCGACTTGCAACCGGTGCTTTCAGGAAAAATTCGATCCAGAGCCTCTATGTAGAGTCGAATCAGTGGTAACTTCACCTGCAGCGATCCTATAGCAGTTTCACATATTTTATAAAGGTACGCGCAAACATCAAGCATCCTTCTTATTCAACTATAAACGATATGACCGCTGCCACCCTCTTCCATAATCAACCCGCAGTGAGAAAGCCGTTCTCTTTGCGTGTGAGAAACTTAAGTGAAGAAATCGGTGTTCCACTGCTATAACTTTGTCCTACGCCCACAGCGAAACATTTACCGCCATGGCAGTGGCAGCTTATACACTGTGACACCTCATTTGTCGAGATCGCTAAACATGCACCATAAGCACATATTAAAATGCATTTCCAACAACTCCAGTCCAACTACTCATGCGTAGAGTTTTATACCGACGCTTCTAAATCGCATGCAGGGGTGGCTTATGGAGCCGTCGGACCATCCTTCTCGAAATCCGGAGTACTGCACCCGGAGACAAGTATATTTACGGCTGAGGGTTATGCACTATTGTCGGCTGTGAAGCATATACGGAAATCAAACATACAAAAATCAATTATCTTTACAGACTCATTAAGCATCGTAAATGCATCAAGATCACTTTTTAGACTCTGAAATCCGGTAATAATCGAGTTGTATTCCGTCCTGTGTACTGCGTATACCGTATTTACTCGATTCTACCGCGCCCTCGATTGTAACGCGCACCCGATTTCCACCGCGAAAAAAAAAAAAACGTAAGACATCGATTGCAACGCGCACCCATTTTTTTTTTTTTGCTGGCCCGCACGATCACACCACTCGAAAAAACGATTCCTTTCGGGATTGTCTTCCATTTAAATATGAGGTACGGGCGAAGCTTGTGCCCATCTGACGTGTAACAGAGCATTGCCGTCACGGTAGTTTTACCGTGGACCGATGTCAGCACGCGAACTTGCTTCGCCCCCTTCTTCTCGACAGTTGTGGTGCCAGGCATGTCGAAGTAAAGAGGCGTCTGATCGGCATTCCAGATTTGCCCAAGCAGGTAGCCGTTGTTGCGCCGCAAGTTTAGGACGAACCTCTGAAAACTGTAAAGCTTTTCATCGTACTTCTCCGCAAAAGTTTTCGCATATGCATGTTCCCCTTCGGAGAAAAGAGCCTTTCCTCTTCATATAGTTAATTAGCCAGCACCTGCTCGCTTTAAACAGGCTCCGCATTAGACTTTTTTCTAAGACTAATTGCATAGCCCGCACTTGGAGCAGTTCTGTCGTCATGGGCCGCTGTGCCACTCACTCCTCAAGCACATACTCGCGGAGCAGCTCTTCAATTTGCGGAAACCGACCCTGCTGTGGTTCACTGAAGCCTTTGCGTGAAGCTTTGCTGTCGACAATCTTCTGCTTTTGTTTCCGCCGGTCCCGCACGCACGTTTCGAGAAGGACCACGATGCGGCCCGATTTCCGTCCGTTTCTGCACACGCGATGACTTTTCTTTTAAAAGCGGCATCGTGGTGCACTCGAGTTTTTGGAGTCGGCCCTTCCAAGTCGTCGATGCTAATGCACTACTAGATGACGAACTTCTCAGCACACGTACGAAGTGCCGCACATGGTAAACACATAGGCAGAAATAGCCGACGCACCATGCCAACGCACGTAGGGGGCGGCCATTTTGGATTTGCGATGGCAATAGATTGACCGTAATTTTTTTGTTCGTACTCGATTCTAACGCGCATGCGATTTATGAACTCGCTTAACCGGAAAAAAGGTGCGCGTTAGATTCGAGTAATTACGGTATGTCCAATCAGCATGTTACTATTTGCTGGGTACCTGGCCATGGAATCATCGAGGGCAATGTGTTAGCTGACCAAATAGCCACGTCAATTATATTGTGCGCTATTAACCTTACCGCTACTATCCCTGCAACAGACCTAAAACCCTTCCTACGTAAGAAACTGCGAAGCCACTGGCAACGCTTGTGGGACACAGAAATAAATAAGCTTCACTTGATTAAGCCGCAGGGTCACTGGCTCTCCGCTACGAGAACACGGCGAACTGATGTCCTATTCTGTCTCCTCAGAATAGGACACACTTGTGGTACCCTTAGCTTTCTGCTGACTGGCGATGAACATCCTACTTGTGGTAGATGTGGCCAGAGGCTAACCGTTCTCCACGTCCTCCTGGAGTGTCCGGAAGCTGAAAGAGAAAGAAATGTTTTCCTTTAGCATACCGCTATCATCTTCCTTTACATCCGATTATGTTTCTCGGCGAAGAGCCGCTTTTTGATGCAAAATCGGTTCCAAGCTTTTTAAAGGATACAGTATTGAATGTTTTTAGCCCAACATTGAATGTTTTTAGCCCAACAGGTTCATAGCGCATCCTCTTTTCAGAGGATGCCACTGTGATAGCAGCTTTCAATGAGCCCAGGCCTCCATGCTCTTGTTTTAAGGGCTCTGTCGAGGCCCTGGTGCTCCATGCCAATTTTTTATTTCACATACGTATCACTTTTAAACCATTTTATGTCTCCATAGCACACATCTTTTGTCATTGCCATAGTTTTACTATATGTATATTTTTACGCACCTACAGCGGCTGTTTTTTAGGCCCATTTACAGCCACGTCACATCTGTTTTATCCACACTGCACATCGGACAGTTCATTATCATCGCTCTGGCGCTCTTTGGCCATATCTGGTCCTTGCGCCAATAAACTCCACTAATCAATCAAAATATTGGTTATAACAAAGTAAATGACAAATAGTCTTGCTGTAGATATAGTGTTAGAAATATACCTTTATAGCGATTTCGTGAATATAAGGAATTTATTCTTATGTAAAATGCAACTTTGTTATCAGGTTTGAGGGTATCCTTTTGACGTCCTTTCTTGCTTATACTTTGTTGCAGCTCCAGGATGCTACTATTGAGCTCATGAAGTGCCGTACTCTGGGCGGAGGGGGGTGCCCACCTGGAGAGAGCGATAAATCTGAGGAGGAGTTGGCACAGTTGCTGTCGCAGAACACAGAACTGAAAAAGGAGAATGAGCGCCTGACCACGGAGCTTCACAACACTTTTGATCAACTTGCCGAGAGCTCGGAACGTATGATCATCGTGAGTGCCTTGTTAAAATTGCACGCATGTTTGTCCACTGCTTTTTTTTTTTTTAACATGAGACGCTGAAAAAAACAGGAAAAGTGGCAGAGGTCACCGTAACAAAATCCATCAAGCTGGGCATAGTGAAGTCTAGTCTCGAGTCGCAGGCGAGGTAAAAGTGGTCATAAAAGCATGTTAATTCAACCCATCTTCTGATCTCGAACAGCACATGCATTTATGAATTGTCCTCGAACACTCTTTCATTCATATGTTTCACCACGCCCCAATTGGTTCAGGCAATCCTAGAAACACCCCGAGGTCTGAAAATGTGCAATGTAAAAAAAGAAAAGTGGCCCCGACGTCCACCTTAGACCAATCGGAGCAGTCCATTGTTTATAGGCATCGACGGTAGTTTACAGTAACGACCTTATTTGCATTTACTGCCACTTTGGTTGTGTTCCTTCAGTATTTCATGATTGACATCTATGATGCATCGTTAGTTGGTGAGCTACACGAAAATGCATCCTTAATGAAAGCAGTGATTCTGTGCCATCACCGAATTGTGAAGTGTCATCATGGCAAGGATTGCAGCTTGCACACTGCACTTAATAGCTGGTGTAGTGGCCACCTCTGGATAGGTTCTTTTGTTCATGCAAACATATTTTGTGCTCCTGTGAAGTTAGTCCACAAGGTCTTGCTGTGCGGCAACATCTCTGACCTGTGCTAAAAGCATCGCCAACTATCAATCTACGCAACCTGAAAATAAACAAAATAGAAGCTTGAAAAATTTAAGGGTCCCCTTTGATGTCTTTGGTGTAAAATTTCCAAACAACCAAAGCTGTCTTTATTTGCCTGTTTCTGCAAATGCCGAGTAGCCTTTAATCTCTTGCTGATGTATTGACAACCAAACATTTCTGCCGGTTGTGAATGTTGTAAAGTCGTCAGTTTTAAATGCAGATTTTGATCCAAAGATGCATTCGTCTTGCAGACCGAGCTTGAGGTCCAGAAGCTGAAAGAACTAGTGGTTCAGCTGTCCGAAAAGATCGAGTAAGTACAATTTATTTGACTTATTTGAATCAAAAGCAATGTGCAAAGTTACTCCATTATTAAGTGTTAATAATGGCAATGAAAATGCCAGTTCACCTGAATCTTTGCTACTAGTGCTTAATCTGGATGACCTGTGAAACAAGCTTTCTGTGTTTCTTTATGTACTGGTGTCGCCAAATGAAATGTGAACAAGTTGGGTTTAACCAGAATAATTTCATTTGCTTTCAGTTTCATGGCTTTGTGCATGCAGTGCAAGCATCATTCACTTATGCGCTTCCTGTAGTCATTTTCTCATTTAGTAATCGCCCTCTTACCTGGGAGTTCATGAAAATAATTTACCATTTTATGAGTGCCTAAACTAGTTTTTGTTTTGTTTTTAAGGTGGCCAAATGCCACTTAGTGCACCAGATATCGTGGGATATTTGTCCCTATCATTATATGAATGAAGTTTCATTAAATCATCTAGGAACATTAACACATGGGATTCCATTGACTTCTGAACATAAAGGGCAAAATTCGGAAGAATGGCAGGCGCCCGAAAACTCTTTACTATTGTTTCTGAGAAAATTAAAAGGGCCCTGCTACTGGTTTTATCTCTTCTTTGCTGGCATTGTTGCAAGAGTGGCATCTTCAATTTATTTGACTTAAAAAAGAAACCATATTGTGCGTCTCTCTAGTCTGGAAACAGATGTTTTTGTGGGCTGAAGAGACGCTTCATCACTCGGGAGTAACATCAGCCTGTCTTTTTAATTGGTTTGACTTGACAAGTCGCACATAATGGTCCCAGATAGGCCACACTACAGTGAAGCCTTGGTAATACGTACTGCTGGGTATGACGGCTTAACAATGCATTAACTACCAGCTACAAATTTGCATCTTCTGACATGCGTCATTGCGGCAAACAAAAGAAGAAACTCGCTGCCCCCACTGAAAATGTTGCCTGAAATGCCAACCGCAAAGTCATTCCTTTCCTTTTGCTAAAGCACAGAAAAATTTCAGACTCTTGCACAACCGCCCGATAGCACGCGGCGGCGACGCCGATGGGCATTTCGAAACTGCCGCGGGATCCGGGATACGCAGCGTGGTACAGTTGCTCGACAGTCTGTTTCTAAGCAAAAACTGGTGCAGCTTTCTTTTGTGCATGGCGCTGTACGATTGCAGAGAGCCAAATCTTTTATTGCATGTGTAGTTGCGTGCAGCGCTTTGCTCACTCTATGCACACCATGACTTCCAATCCGCTTGCTGTAGAGTACACCCTCTCCGCTTTAGGCCATGCACAGATTTGACGTGTAGCCTTCTGGGTTAACACGGCGACCAAGAGCTTTCCGCAAGCAATGTGCTCTTTGTGATGCTCTAGTAGTCCTGGCAGCAAACTGAGGCGCATTTGGGCTGTTGCTAATAAAAACATGCAGCATGGTAGCAACAGTGCTATGCTCCCGCGGAACACCTATATACTACCATTTGCTCACTGTACGTTGCACGTGTTGGCATAATACAGCAAGGTTTCTCGGTGCCCGTGATCTGCAATGCTAAACTTCGTGACAGAGAGCTAGCTGCTTGTGTATCTGTAAAGCGGTGTGCGCTTGAACACAGTCGGGCAAAGCGAAGCGATTGGCGGCCCAGCGCGTCAAGTGGTTTCCTACTAAAAGCATGCAGTAGGCCTAAGGTGATGCAGATAAGTGGGGATGTTTACTGTGATCGGGCTTTTAGCAGGCGATCAGTGATGCTGGCGCACTTCGCCACCTCGCTTCCCCCCCCCCTCCCCCCTGATGGGTACTCACAATGTCATCGCCGCAATCGTTTGGAAGTCGAAATAACTTATCAGCTGATCTCTGCACTTATCAACCTGATGGAAAACCATTCACTGCACATTTTGGTGTTTGCAAAGCTATCGCAAAATGTTATCGCTGTACGCAGTTAGTATGCATCTAACCGGTAGGCATAGGCCGAACACTACAGCCTAAGTGGTCCGCGAATGCATTAGTCTCTATGAGACTCGGTCGGGGATTCGTTGCAGCTACGTTTTAACCATTAGTAAGCTTAAAGCGAGTGCGCACTGATGAGGTTTGACTGTATTGTGTGCTGAATACTCATTATACTACCCGAGATCTCTTGGCTTCATTGTCTGTTAGTTCTAGCTAATTGTGTGTATAACAAAAAAACTATTCCTTAAGTTCGCACTTCTTTTCCTCGGATGCAAAAGGATTTCGGTTTTTAAGTACTATAAAAGTATGGTAAAGCAACACTAGCAGTGTAAATAGTTTGAGCCCAGGTAGGCTTCAGATATCCCATTGTATTTTCTCTACTGTTATGGATATACTTCGTTACTAATTAGTGAAACTTGGATAATTTACTTTCGCTCTTATTTCTGGGAGTAGCAAGTCACCATTACGATCATTCTTATTAGCATAACAGTGCGCTTTTGTTTTTCTTTTGTTTTTAGATCATCACTGTTCACATCTAAATAACATTATCTCATTTTTGTTTGCCTGATAGGAACAGTCGGCTAGCTGATGCTGATCAGGGGACCAGTCTTCTGAAGGACCTTCAAAATTCCATAATGGAGTTCACGGTCAGTCTTGATGGTTTTCTTTGTTTAATGAGTACAATATGTGCTGATCGTCTCTAAACAAGGATTTCCTTTGCCCATCTCACAGATGCTAAATAATTACATTGTATCTGGCATCTGTGTTTGTATGTTTTATTAAAAGTATGAACAGATTGAATGCAATGGAATAGGAAAACAGCCAAGAACAACAGTGCATAAGACAGTGTTGTGACTAGAGTTTCAGAAATACTATAGCGTTTGCTTAGTACCTCTGCTGTTCTTATGATGCCTGCTTTGTGTTTATTGTTTCATTTTCTTCGTTCCACAGACGCCAGACTTTTTCCACTGCTAACTGTATTATTAATGGCTCCACAGTTTCTTTCCTCAGCTGTATTAAGTATCTCGGTGTTAACATTTGCAGAATCTAAACTGGTCTTCTCATGCAAGTATTATAGCTAACAATACCAACAGAGCTCTTTGTCAATTTCGTCGTAAAATGCATCTTGCCCCTCCATCACTCAGAATTACTAGCCTACAAAACCCCGATTCGACCTAAGCTAAAATATGCATCCGCCAATTGGGACCCACCACCAAGTGACCTAAGAAAGTCCATTGAACTAGTTCAAAACAGCGCAGTAAGATTACATTCAGATTACTCGTATCAAACCAGCGTTACTACCCTTAAAAGTAAGGCAGGTCTACCTAACCTAGACTTGCTCCTTAAGACCTCCAGACAGTACTTGTATCACAAAATGTATCATGCGTTTCATTAAAACTCTCCCATTCAACCAGCCCATCGTACTTCAGCCCGCACAAGTTGCCACAAGGCCGTCTACCCACCTCCTGCTTGCACCATAGCCTACTGTCATTCCTTTTTCGTTCAGCCAGCCAGGGACTGGAACGATCTTCCCCCAAGCATCATCGATCATTCCAACACAGACAAATTCAGGAATGCCATAAAATCATTGTTTTATGAACTCTACATAGTTTGCCCACACCCTCATCTTAAAGGGCCTTTGAGGTATATTAAATAAATAATCACTGGACGATTTCTAAGCTGGCTCCGGCAACTTGAATACACTTTAACCTTGATATAATGAATCCAGATAATTTTCGGTTATAATGAATACAAATGATAACGAATTATCAGTTATAAATGCAGTATTATCTTGGTGTAGATCACCAAAAACGAGTGTATGTGCGCTACGAATCCTACACTCTAATTGTAGACATTGTCGTAAATTCAGTTTTCACCTGCTTGAAGCGAGAACTCTTTTAGAGCATACGAAACATATTAGAGTGCATTCCTGAGAAAATACCTTGTGTGGTTTAAATTATTCTAAAGTTTCTGCATTGGTGCTTGTGTAATGCTTTAAATGGCAAAGTGATAAGTCTGCTTTCTCTGGGCAGGCTGGTGAGCAGAGCCGGCGCAAACTCAACGAGTCTCTCTTCAAGGTGAGCTCAACTTGGTCAACGCTTCTGCTGCTTTTTACACATTCCGCAGCTCTCTTTTCAATGCATCTGAGAAATGGGTGATGGAAGTGGACAAATGGTGGTCTACACTAGGCTGAGGAAAGATGAGTGGCACAGGTGCTCTGTGTTTGAGCCAACCCAAGTGTAAGGCTTGGCCAGTCTGCTGTGGATTGTTATAATTGTTCTTCTCTTGTATAGATTGCGATGCTTAAAAGGTCTTGCATGTTTAACTTTACGGCAGTGCTACTAATTGTACTGCTCTAAATGATATGGCATCATTTTATACCAATTAATAGGTGTCTCGATTGGCCTGTTTTATCTTTCACCCAGGAAAAGACTCCATTCAAACGGGAAAGTGCGGTGCATACTTGTGAGGTGGTAGTGTCCTGAAATGCAGGCTTTGAGCATAAAATGGGCTCTCTAGATCACCAAGAACGAATGTGTGCACTATAGATCCTGCACTCTAATTGTAGACATTGTTGTAAATTCAGCGTTAACTTGCTTCAAGCAAGAACGTGATTGACGGCCTACACCACTAAGAATTAAAGGAATGTAAAATATTGTAGCCGCATGCTTAATAAATTTCATGTTTCAGTTTAGAAGCGACTTTGAAGTGAATAGTGAATGAACTGATTTCTGATTGAATAGTTTGAATAGTATATATCTCTAATTATAAAGGAGGAAAAGAAAAACTCGGACACAGAGGTTAGCCTGTTCTGATTATAAAGTGAAATTAACATTTTATATGTTTGCCCGAGTGCCTTCCTTGCTCTGAAGCAAAGCGAAATCAACATTGAATACTATTTGCAGAATTTGAATAACGCTATAGTGCAATTTAAAAGCGGTGAGATACGTTCTGCTCTACGAGTTGCTATACATATTGCATATAAGCTTGTATAGCACACTTTTAATTCAGGAGAAAAAAAATAATTGAATTGCAGGTAATACGTAGGCTTAACTTTAAGGTGCGTTTTTGCGGCAGCGCTGATTTTCTCTCAATAGGTGGGTGGTTTCACAGCATAGCAAAGATGTGTCTATGCAGATTTGAATACACTAATATCCGTTTGAATATTCGAAGCGCTCAAATTTTCGCCAGCGCTTAGTCCCACGTTGCCACGTTCAGGTGGACAAGTCCGCCGCAGCCGACAACAAAGATATGACCACCATCGAGGAAGAAGGCTCGGACACATCTCTCGGCGATGGCACTGTGAATGATGCTGCGGAACAGACTCCAAAGACGCTGCTCAACCAGTCTAGTCTGGAGGTGACCATGCGACGTGCTGCACTGAGCAAAGAGCTCGAAAATTTGAACAGAGTGTTGCAAGCCAAGGAGGAGCTTGCCAGCAAGATATCCATGAATGACCAGCACCTTGAGGTCATGAAGGCGCAGTTCGAGGTTAGTGTGTGCTTGCGCACCACTGCTTTAGTCTACGTATTGCCATCTACCTTGGGTCTGATATTTAGGCTCAACGATTGGAACATTAACTCAAGAGTGCACTTGCTAACTCGGGTTAAATAGCAGTACCAATGGGCTTCTCCTGTAAATCTACGCTAGCGTACCTCGGTAGAACCCAAACAAAATTTGTGTGGTTGTGCCAGTCGGCGACATCTCGTTCCTGTGTCAAGTGCTTGTGCAGGTTAAATAAGATTGTTAATTTGCCATAAAAATGTCGCTGTGCTGACAAATTTATTTTGGGATTCTTGAGTTAATTCGCTTTTTTTTTTTTTTTTGTTCCGTTGCGCTCGGGATTTGCAGTAGCTGATCAAATGTAGTTGATGAGCTCTCCAATGCCAGCTTGTTGGTGAATCAGTTGCGGATCGCCAGCACTTGTGGTGTCCTTTCGTGCTTTCTCGTGTATACGTATATTTCCTTGCTACAAAAAAAGCTGTTCTGCTGATCTAAGCTTTCTCAGCTTTGTGCAGAGTTCTCCTGGTAGGGCTTTTGCAAAAGTGCATTGGTGTTTGTGTATATAATCCTGGCATTCTTGCCGGGCATATGTAGGCATATGTAGTTAACTGTTGTGCGATTCAGGTCGTGAAGCTCTTGAAGTACTGTGTGCACTAGTGTCATCATCATCAGCCCGACTACGTCCACTGCAGGACAAAGGCCTCTCCCATGTTCCGCCAGTTAACCCGGTCCTGTGCTTGCTGCTGCCAATTTATACCCGCACACTTCTTAATCTCGTCTGCCCACCTAATTTTCTGTCTCCCCCTAACCCGCTTCCCTTCTCTGGGAATCCAGTTAGTTACCCTTAATGACCAGCGGTTATCCTGTCTACGCGCTACATGCCCGGCCCATGTTCATTTCTTCTTGATTTTAGCTATGATATCCTTAACCCCCCGTTTGTCGCCTAATCCACTCTGCTCTCTTCTTGTCTCTTAAGGTTACACCTAACATTTTTCTTTCCATTGCTCGCTGCGTCGTCCTCAATTTAAGCTGAACCCTCTTTGTAAGTCTCCAGGTTTCTGCTCCGTAGCTAAGTACCGGCAAGATACAGCTGTTATATACCTTCCTCTTGAGGGATAGTGGCAATCTACCTGTCATAATTTGAGAGTGCTTGCCGAATGTGCTCCACTCCATTCTTATTCTTCTAGTTACTTCAATCTCGTGGTTAGGCTCCGCGGTTGTTACCTGTCCTAAGTAGACGTAGTCTTTTACAACTTCAAGTGCACTATGACCTATCTCGAAGCGCTGTTTGCTTCCGAGGTTGTTGTGCATTACTTTCATTTTCTGCAGATTAATTTAAGACCTAATTCTCTGCTCTCCTTGTCTAGCTCCGTAATCGTGAGTTGCGATTCGTCCCCCGAGTTTCTTAGCAATGCAGAGTCATCGGCGAAGCGCAGGTTACTAAGGTGCTCTCCACTAACTCTTATGCCTAACTGTTCCCATTCTAGGCCTCTAAAAACCTCCTGTAAGGACGCGGTAAATAGTATTGGGGAGATTGTATTCCCCTGCCTTACACCCTTCTTGATTGGTATTCTGTTGCTTTCCTTATGAAGCACTATGGTAGCAGTTGATCCCCTGTAAATTTCTTCCTGGATGTTTATACATGCTTCGTCGACGCCCTGATTCCGCAGTGTCTGCATGACTGCTGATATTTCTACTGGATCAAACGCCTTCTATGAAGGCTATTTATAGTGGTTGGTTATACTCTGAGCATTTCTCTATTACCTGATTGATAGTATGAATGTGGTCGATGGTTGAGTAGCCTGTTCGAAATCCTGCTTGTTCCTTTGGTTGATTTAATTCGAATTTTTTCTTTACTCTGTTAGCAATTACCTTTGTAAATAGCTTGTATACTACAGAGAGCAAGCTAATCGGCCTGTAATTCTTCAAGTCCTTGGCATCTCCTTTCTTATGAATTTAAATGATGTTAGCGTTCTTCCAAGACTCTGGTACCCTTCCCGTCAGGAGACACCTGGTAAACAGGATGGCTAGTTTTTCTAACACAATCTGTCCTCCATCTTTCAGCAGATCTGATGTTACCTGATCCTCACCAGCAGCTTTGCCTCTTTGCATGCTCTCCAAAGCTTTTCTGACTTCTTCTATCATTACTGGTAGGGTGTCATCTGGGTTACTGCTAGTTCTTATAGTATTAAAGTCGTGGTTGTCCCTGCTACTGTACAGATCTCTGTAAAACTCCTCCGCTATTTCAACTGTCCTATCCATATTGGTAGTTATTTTGCCTTCTTTGTCCCTTAGTGCATACATCCGACTTTTGCCTATCCCAAGTTTCCTCTTCACTGCTTTGACGCTTCCTCCGTTTTTGAGAGCTTGTTCAATTCTCTCCATGTTATACCTTCTTACATCGCATACTTTACGTCTATTAATCAACTTCGAAAGCTCTGCCAGTTCTATTTTGTCTGTTGTACATGACACTTTCATGCTTTGACGCTTCTTAATTAGGTTCTTAGTTTCCTGGGAAAGCTTGCCAGTGTCCTGTCTAACTACCCTGCCTCCAACTTCCACTGCACACTCCGTAACGATACTCGTTAGATTATCATTCATTGTATCTACGCTAAGGTGGTTGGTGTACTAGTGTATAAATCACTTTTTTGTTACGTTCTACATTTTCATTTATTCCATTTCATATTTTACAATTTTTATGTGCGAAACTGCGAGATGCAGGCTGTACGTAGGAGCGGCCTTCGCAGGACAATATATGATAGCTTTTTGGGGCTGATGACGCATATTGTGTGCTGAACCCTGATCCGAATGATATAGCCTTGCTTCTTCTGTCACATGTGAATTGTTTTTTTTTTTTTGCAGGCAACCAATCGTGATCTCGAGCGTGAGATAGCTGCTCTCAAGAAGGAACGTGATGAGCTCTCTACCATGGTGGCAAGTCAGCAGAAGTCTGCTAAAAGGTTAGGTTCTGCATGTTTGCGTGTGCTGTTCGTGCTTGCGAAACTACAGCTGGACTCCGTTTGGCTAGTTGATTTTGAATTTCAATCCGAAGCAGTTTAGAACTTCCCCAAAACAATTAATGGGCAAAAGGCCCCAATTCTGTGGAGGGGCAAATGGAAATAATGCCAAAGATAAGATGCACCGTTTTGATGCGCACTCCCAGCGCCACTTCGCTTAGCACGCACGCTTTGAACTGTGCTCCCCACTGACCTCTGTGCCAGTGGTTTGCATTGTCTGCTCCGCGATGAGTTTTTCACGACAAAACATGTATTTTTCTGATGTTATTCTTGCTGGGCTTTTGGGGAGAGCTGGAAGTTCTTGTATCGTGCTGTATGGCTGTAGCGCAAGTTTCCGGAAAGTTGTGTGCGTTGAACTTAAAGGAACAGAAGTACAAGTCGCTCAAAACGAATTCAGTGCTGCTAAGAATTATTCACATAGAGTAGAGCTATACTATTTTCGCGAAATGGCACACCTTTAGCGCTCCATCGCTAACTCTGGTAGAAAACCTTTGCAAGATTGCATCTTTACTGTCATCGTCATTAGACCAACTAGTGGATAAGACTAGATCGAAATACTCGAGGCGTGCTAGCCTTTCTGCTGTCACCATACCTGCCCCTCTGCGTCGTCTACTGGCCGTCCGCTACGCGCACAGCTTGCAATGAATGCTGGCATTGCACAGCACCGCTCTGAAGATTTCTTCAAAGCAACAAAGCAGCCAGTTTGCCGTGGACAGCAGGTGCACACAAATGTGCACTGGTGCGATTTATCAAAGGCACACAGGCGCGCTGGTATACCCTGGGGAGCATTGTTGAATATGCCATAAGTGAAGCTAGCACAAATGAAGACTTGCACTGAGGCTCGGACAAGGACTTGTGGATAAGGCTAGATCTTTTGAAAACGAGCGATTTCACTGTAGCTCTTGGATAACGGTATGAGCACTTGACTGACAGTATTAATTACAGTAACTCAGTATGTATATGTGGAACTGACCGTTTCCTTATTTGCAATGCTATTTGTTCTAGTTTACTTTTACAAATACTTATGCAAGGTGCCTATATTTTAATGCAATGCAATTGGAAGGCTTTAACAACAATACCGCATGTTATACAGTGGCTGTTACTTAACTGAGAAAGCATGGAGTTCCAGTAAATCAGTATACCTCTGCTGGGTTTCTGCAACTGTACATGTCAAACAGCTGTAAAAATAGACTCGCTCTCTCCCACACTGCACATTTTTTCAAGCACACATTAAATAATGGCAACAAATGACGAGCATGACCGGTTACTCATCCTGTCCATTATTGACTGCCCATTGACCAGTATCCTAACGACTCTGTACATAAAGCAGTACAGCAGACACTCCTCCCCCCAATGATGGCTTAGGTTGTACAAAAAGAACAAACCTAATCACTGTTTTGGGAAGTAAATAGAAAACGTGGAAAACTTGGATACCTTGTGGTTCTAGTACTATAACTAAAGCATCAGAAAAATTCAGGTTCAATACCAAGTGAATTCCTTGAAAATGTTGAATGGCTTGAGCTGACTGGACTTAACTTTAGGGATGTCTACAGAAAAGTGAAGAGCTGTAACTTGTGGTGTACACGTATCCCGAAGGAGTACGGCCACCAGCGTGGGTCCGGTCTTAGCGAGCCGCAGGGCACGCGTTAACCGTCGCCGTGGCGGGAAACACGATACTGCTCAAGTCGCAACACTTTATTGTGGCAACACCAAACGCAGTACAGCCCGTTGCAAAAAAGGCGCGGCGGGAAAGCAAGTAGGCTTATCCACGCCACGGGCACAAAGTACTACACAGGGTGCCACGAGCACGTCTCCGCGGTAAAGGTAATCCACGGAGACACCGGGACCAAGGGGGCCCGGTTGCTCGGGCGAGGGCAAAGGCGCTCGCGTTGGCTTCGAAGGGAGACGGGTCGGCGTAGCTAGGCCACGCACTAGGACACCGTACTGCCCTTCGGCCGTGAGTACGCAGCGGGGCAACAAAAGGTGAGCGTTCGCATCGGGCGCGAGGCGCCGTCAGCGAAGTCCGACGAGCCCCGAGCGACGGGACTCGACGGACGGAAAAGAATGCGTGGCTCACCGTTTGAAGTCCCGGACTGTACTCTCTGCTCCCGACGCAGCGCGCGAAAACCTCTCGGGAGGCTCCCCGCGCGCGGCGCCACAGTCAACATCCGCTACCGGGTGAGGGAGGTAAACGTCACTCCGCCCTTCCCGGCGCGGCAGACAGCAAAGGAGGGCAGACATGTCGGGACATGAGAATGGCAGAAAAGGCGGGAAAGCCCGCGCAAAGGCAGCGGGCCAGCCTCCATTCCCACAAACTTCAAACTTGCCAAGACTCCTGGAATGGTCGGGAGACTTCCGGATTTCGACTATTTCTTCCGTTTGTACGGTTATTGTAACGTATAGTTTGTACGGCATTGGCAAAAAAGCAGCTCGATCCGCTCCAGGCTTTTCGAACCTACCCCATTTTATTATAAATTAGTTTAAGAAGCATTCTAACTTACACCAGAATCTCAGTGATGCGAAACCGCAGCAGATGGGAATTTGTGAAAATCTCCGGCCAAATTCTACCATGTTCATTGGGCCTAAATTCGAATACTCCGAACACATTTCCTAATCGCGGCGGGTGATACAAACTTTAGTACGGGAACCGTCACACGAAGACCGAGAGCAGCATACTCGAAGCTTTGGAAGTGCACATGCGACCGGCGCGCGCACTGTTTTCTACAGTGCGTGTGATTGTCGTTGCCACAACCGCTGTGGACGAAACCGCGGTTGCTGTTGGCACGATCATGTATGGCGACAACGTAACTGACAGAACCCCGAAAGTGTGCGCTCAACCAGTCAAATCAACGTTGCTTTCCGCAAACTCTGTGGACTTAACTGCGGCAGATGCGATCTTGGATCGCATAAAACTACTTAGTTTTAGCGCCTGCGCATCCAAGTGCACGAGGATCGTAAAAAGAACTACCGTTTGTCGCAAGCACCGCGCGGTCGCGGCGACGCGATAGCGATCTACAAGCTCCGAAGGCACGCAGTAGTAGAATAAAGGCCCTAAATACGTAGCAAAAATAAAAGAAAACAAAAGTTGGTTTTGCCGTAAGGGCAAAGCAATGAATGCGACGGCAACAACTTGGAGTGTCACGCTGAGAACGGCAAGCAGATCGTAACATGCAGCATGCTGCTCTCGCACGGGTGACCCACGAAAACGATACACACAGGACGAGAGCAAACTAACGTTTACCGCTCGACACGTAACGCACTATTTAAACAAAAACCATGCACGATACGTAATCACAGATACTGATGAGTACAAACAAGTGTCCCAGTGTTATACCTCGCTGTGTATAAAAAGCATGCTCTTTTCGCAAACGGGGCCTGTGCAGAGACCAAAGTGACCTTTGTGGGCCCGGCAACTAACGCAAGCAATCGTTGCAGTAAAAGCCAGAAGCAGTGCCTCCTCTGGCCAAAGGCACACAATTCTTCCCACCAAAGGATAGGCGCGCGCAGAAGCATCTAAATCCCCCATCCGTGGGGCAAAGTACGTGTGCAAGATAAGCGCATCACCACGAGCTAAAGCTTTATTATTTTCTAGTGTTCATATACTATACGGTAATTGTACCGAAGCATAGTGGCGCCAGCTCTGTGCCAGTGTGAAAGAAGACGTTGACGTCCGTGTGTGGGTCGTGCTTGCCGGGTTCCTGCCTGTACCAGCTTGTTGCGGCTAACGTTTCTGGAATAATAACCTGCGTTTTTACGCAACCTTGCTCATTGCATTTGGTGGAGGTGCTGGGTAACGTCCTGGAGCTTTTTGTTTCCATTCAGCACGACAATCATAGATCTCCCTCGCTCACCCAAAAAGGGGATCGTCGCCGCTGACGTCGTCATTTCTGCTTTTTCGGTCACCGCGGTATCTCTTTTGTGCAACTCTGTTTCCGATTCAACTGCCCTATTTATGCCGTCACAAGAATGCGCTCGTCGCCGGAACCTTGTCGTCCCGTTTGCCGTCGTAACACTTGCCGATGGCTCCAGTGCCGTGTACGTGTCCAATCCGTTCCCTTGTCCCGCTACCTTATTGCATGGCGAATGCATTGGGAGTCTTGACACTTATGATGACATCTTTCCTTTCGATGCCCGTTCTGATACGACACCGATGTCCGTGGATGCTGTCACAGCTGGCACCGCGCCCTCACTACGCTGCGCAACAGAACGTCTTCGTCAGGTAGACACCGGCCTTACGCAAGACCAGCGCAATCAGCTCATTTAACTACTTGACCGTTTCCGCGCCTCCTTCGACCACGGACAACCTCCCTTGGGACGCATGTCAGTTGTCGCTCACCATATCGACACCGGTCATCATACTCCACTTCGTCAGCGCCCCTACCGCGTCTCGCAGGCCGAGCGTGACGTCATCACTCAACACGTCGACGAGATGCTGCAACGTGGTGTTATTCAGCACTCGCACAGTCCTTGGGCTTCGCCAGTGGTCCTCGTGCGAAAAAAGGATGGCTTCATCAGGTTTTGCGTGGATTATTGTCGACTAAACAACATCACACGCAAGGATGTTTATCCCCTGCCACGCGTTGACGCCTTGGATTGCCTTCAAGGTGCGGAGTTTTTCTCTTCACTGGATCTGCGCTCTGGATATTGGCAAGTACCAATGGCTGAACCAGACCGTCCAAAAACGGCGTTTGTGACCCCTGACGGCTTATATGAATTTAATGTAATGCCCTTCGGTCTTTGCAATGCGCCTGCGACTTTTGAAAGAATGATGGACAGTGTCCTCAGGGGACTTAAATGGCACATCTGTCTTTGCTATTTAGACGACATAGTTGTATTCTCGGCGAATTTCGAAACTCATCTTTCCCGTCTGGAACAAGTTCTCCAGTGCCTTACGGCAGCCGGGTTGCAACTTAACTTCAAGAAATGTCGTTTTGGCGCCCGCA